TATGATTATTTAGCTTTCTACATCTATGATCTTCAATAGTGCAACTGTAACAAATTTCTTATTATACTCATTATGCTGCTCCTGATATGGTGCCATCTTGTGTATTGTATTTGCTGAAATAATCTCTGAAAGCCTCTATGAAAGGTCTCATTGATAATGTGAAGGTGAATTGAAAATTTTACATTTTTTATTTTAAAATACTATAGCTTGAAACAGAACTACTTTAAGCAAACGGAGAATTACTGCCTTTTTGAGGATTAAATAAATTAATGTCATTTATAGATTCAGTTGACAGAATATGTCTTTATCAAATCTAAATAATTTATTGGCTGGTCACATTTAATGCCCGTATACACACCAAAGCACTGTGTCCCATCTTTGTCTCTCTTACACATAGTCCTTTCATAGGGGCACACAGTGTATGGTGCCCTTTGTGTTGGCACCATGCAAAATTACCTGATTGAGCCTGAGCACTTACCCATGTCCCAGTGTCTGTGCTGGTGACAACAGGGGCCCTTGTTGTTGTGGCACAACACGGCAAAGCAAACCCACCCAAACACTGCCAACCTTTTGTCCCTCGAAACAAAGACAAACACACCAGTGCACTTTCTCTTGGCAAATGACGCCTTAATTGTGCAAGTTAACAAGCTTGCTCCTTTTCCCATGAATAACAAAGAGACTGGTTGAGTTTGTTGTTGTTTCTTCTCCCTGGAGTTCTTTTGATCCACATTCACACTTATTGTTTTCCCTCAGGTCTCTCTTTGCTGTATCTGTAACAGTGACTGAACTGTTGACACAGCATCACAACAAAGTGATGCACTGATTTCCACAGTGGGATATTTTGTACAGTACACGCTACATGTTCATTCATGTGGTCTCTGGCCCTGCCCTGGGCTCTCAGCATCAAACACTGTTCCTTTTATTCCTCTGTTTATTTCGGCCTTGAAAGTGAGAGTTCCACAGTTGAATGGGACATCTTCGTGGATTTGCATAATCTTGTGGCATCGGCTGGATTCTGGTGAACACACGGAGACTTGTGCCAACCACAGAAAGGTGAAGCCGTCACCTCTGCAGGGGGCACAGAGAGTAGACTGGAGTGTAGCAGACACTTTCAGAGCTAATCGTGATCAGCAAGGAACAAAACGTTATAACATATTAAACATGGTCCTGAGGCCTGGTGCCTTCTCTTCAGAGCATGTGGCTCTGTGTCTGTCTCTGTCCTTCTCCAGACAGAGGTGGTGCCAAGGGAGTAGGACTGCTGCCCCTCTCACTGATGGGAAACTGTTGCTCATGCTCTGGGTTGGCTGCCAAGTTTTGGCATTATTGGCAGGAGGAAGGGGTGTGTGTGCGGGGGATGGGGGGGTTACAGAGAGGGGGCCCTTTAAACCCTGTGAGATAGTGCTATCTGTTGTGGGAATGATCTCCATCTCCCTCTAACCCACTTAAAAAAAACTCCCGAGGTTCTTGTTTCTGTCACTTTCTTCTCTTTGTTGGCCCCACTCATCCGCTGCTCTGTCTCTGCTCACTCAAGCCGTACATCACACGGCCGTCCTGAGGTGAGCTAGCGCAGATCTGATGCTCTGGATTATCACAATCACTGTGGCAGCCTTTCTCACACAAACACAAGTGGAGTTGGCTTCCATCCCAACACCAACTGTAACTTTCACAAAGCTCTCTCATTGTTCAGAGGATGCCACTCTCATGCCAGTTTTATTACTTTAATCACAACATGTATAACTGTCATTTTTAAATATAATGCAGTAAATATAATACAAGCATAAAGTAAAAACAAGTGTAGACAAGGTAACAAGTACGTGTATGTATAGTGCTTTTCACAGACCAAAGTCACAAACTGCTCCAGAGATTACAACAAAAAAATACAAATATAACAACAATAGACACATTAACAAAGTAAACAAAATTAAAGATCTGGCCAGAATGCTTGCATAAAGAGATGAGTCTTAAGTTGATGTGTTCTCGAAGATCTCAAAGATGGATGGACATAAGGCTGGATCAGGTTGTGCCTGTCTGTGTAGAGCTTGAAATATAGAAGAAACAGGGAGCCCATGTATGGACTTTCAAACAGGAGAAATATGGACTCTCAAAGAAATCTCCCCAGCATTTCCTCTCTCATCATTGTTGGACATTTTTGACATTTGTAGTGCAGTCACACTTTAAAAACATGTTCAGGTTCAAATATGGAGCCTCTCTATTTTCCCCCAGGCACAGGGTGACACAGGAGACATACACAAAAATGTAACAAAATCATATGTGAAAGAACTGGTCAAGAATAGACTTTAAAACAGCTCTGTTTGTGTACAAGTCTCTCCATAGTCCAGCACCAAAGTACATCTCTAACATGTTAGTGCCATATGAACCATCTCATGGACTGGCCTCCTGCTGGTGCCAGAGTCAAGAGTAAAGATGGGGAGTCAGTGATTCAGTTTAATGGAATAGTCTTCCTGAACACGTGAGACAGATGCTGACAATGTTAAAACTCTCGTCTCAAAAGAGACCAGTGGATCCGCATATTACAAATTGTGCTCTATGATAAGTTTCCCCTGTGTCATCTAGACCAAACCTGCTCTAACCTGCATTTGAGCCAATGTCCAATTACCTCAATCCTGGAATTTCCTAAACTTATAAATCTTGTTTCATGGGGTTAAATGAACCCAGGTTCATTTAAACAGTGGTCTAACAGTGAGTTAAAAAGGAGTTAAGAGACTGCTTTACCCACACAGAGACATGCACTGTATCTGGATCTAGATATAAGTTTGCCACGCATTCTACCTCAACAAAATTATTGACTTTTAGACAGCCAGTCGATATAAGGGTTTATTTGACAGCATAAGCTGTATATTTAATTATAGCTTTTGTTGGCGTCATTTTAGAGCAGACATGTCAAACTCAGGCCCGGGGGCCAAATTTGGCCCATGATATAATTATATTTGTCCCGCGAGATCATATCAAATATGCATTAGAGCTGGCCCAACGGCTACAGATAGGCTATACAGATATTATTTATTAAAAATGTTATTATTTATATTATACTTGTTCTGGATTCAGTGTTTAAGCACAACTATTATTAAACATTTATTTTAATAAGAAAAGGTTCAGCATTACATATCTCGAAAGAAGAGAAGGTGGTCTTGAAATTTTTCAATAAATATTTAGTTTGGCCCATGACTTAGTCCCAGTTTTTAATTTTGGCCCTCTGTGAATTTGAGTTTGACCTCTGTTTTAGAGAGTCTATGTTGTTAGATACTTGTACCATGAAGTAAACTGACTTAACAATTGCATGGATTTAAATATGATGGATTTAAACTTAGACTTAGACATAAAGATGTGTTTTCAGTGACGACTGGTTTTGCTGAAAGAGCGTATTGTTGATGTTCAGTCTGTGATATTAATTCCAAAGACAAACAGTCTTAAAGTACAGCTTTAGCAGAGCTCTGGTTTACATGACAATAAATGCTCTGAATTCCCTCCTTTTTTATCTCTGCTCAATTTATTATTATTCATGTGATGTGCTGGGGCTAAACCTTCTCATCTGACTGATCTTGAGTCTTTCTTCGTGCACAGAGTCAGGATTTAAATCAATATGGTGGCACTATGATCCCCTGGTATTCCCTTAGAGGAGTCCCCTTTCTTGTATTGTCACTTCACCATCGTCGTGGCCACTGTGTTTCATTGGTTTTCTTGTTGCTTGGTAGAGCTGGTTAACATTTCTTTATCCATCTACCCAAGCGACTAATGTGGGTTTATGCATAAATCCACACTGGGCCTGTCTTATCCATCCTTACTTCTCTACAACTCTTAGGTAGAATCACTTATTTTATTGTACTATATACTGCTACAGGTGAGATGTTATTTTGAAATACAGTCTATAGTAACTCTATTTTATCGATATATTAAGAAACTACACTTTTTTGTTTTCTTGGCTTCTCCAGAAAAACCTTTGATTTCAAGGTCTTGGTAATTTTCTTTTCGCACTCACTCAAGGATGAAGCACAAGGAGACGGAGATTGTTCCCTTTCTATTGGACCACAAAAGGTGTCTTGCCCCCCCCCCAAAAAAAAGCTCTTTTACTTTCTCTTTTTATTTACTTTTTTTTTTCCTCAATCAAACACGTCTTATTTTAGAAAGCACAGATGTAGCCTTTACACTGGCACTGTGGATAATTGGGAGCCATACGTTTGGCAGGTGGCTTACTGTGTATAGTTAATGCAAGCTAAAATATAAAGAGTTGTGCTGAAAAATTAATGAAAACATATAAATACATGTAAAATAAATGGTTTTGGAGACCCTTACAAATATTTTGAATTTCATATTTTAGCCTATAGATTATATATACTGCATATTAGCCCTAATTAAACCAGATTTGTTTAAACAGTGGAGTGACTTAAATTGTGTTAAATGATGAGTTAAGAGGAGGCTTAACCCACATTAGAGATATGTACTGTATCTCGAGTTAGATATAAGTTTGCCAAGCATTTTGCC